GCAAGTACATCTGTATCTGTTCAGTTACAAGAGCCTTTGTTTAGGTGAAAGGCATAGAGGTAGCATTTGTAGGGGATATTGTAAATGAGGGAGAATATTAATTTTAATTAGGCTCACATGCCAAAAACAGAAAGTGGAAATTTTTGTCATCTATCCAAATCTTATGAAAATTTTTATTAGAACTGTGGAAATGTTCAGTTTCCATAGTTAACCTGGTCACCCAGCAGCAAAACCTCTGCCCACATTGCAAAATTGGTATGGCCCGGATCTGGTCCACACAGTGTGCTTACACATGGGGTGGGTTTCCTGTTATCGGTCACGGTTGCCAAAAACTTTTTGAAGCTCAAGAGTGAGGCTGGTGCTTCCCAGAGGAAGCGACCGGCCATGTAAGTCCCCTGACAAGTCCCGACGGAGCGAGCGTACTGCGGCAACGTCAGCCCTACACGCCTGCTGTTTCCTCCTGCGCGCTGACCACGCGTCTCTCACTTGGCTCCTGAACTTCAAACACCCAGAAGGTCAGGCGGCCTGCTGGCTGGAGGTTCTTCAGTGCTATCACTTAAAGACCCAGCATTGGGCAGGTCGGCAGCATGGCAACGCTGATCCGGCGGCGCAACCCCTGGACTGTATGGGGGTGTCAGGACAGGGGCCCGAAGTGAAGGCCTATCACTCTCAGTACAACAATCTGGAGACCCACAATGGCCTCCTATACCGGAGATGGCGGACCCCCGGTCAGGGCAAAGATCTCCTGCAGCTGTTGGTGCCTCAGTCGCTGCGGTCGCAGGTGCTCGAGCTTGTCCACGGCTCGGTGGGGGCCGGCCACTATGGGAATCCCAAAACTCTCTGCCATCTCAGGGGACGGTTCTGGTTGTCTATGAGATGTGTAACTTCACGTGCACTGCTGTGACACCTGCATGGCACAGAAGAGCCCAACTCAACGCTCCACTGCCCCCCTGCAGCAGTACTTGGTGGGGGCCCCGATGGAGCGAGTGGGAGTAGGGCCTTTCCCCATCACCGAGTTAGGGAACCACTATGTGTTGGTGGCTATGGACTATTTCACGAAGGTGGGCCAGAGATGGACTACTATAGGAGGCTGAGGGAGCAGCTGCATGTGGTTAATGACTACACCCGCCAGGCCAGTGCCGGAGTACGACAGAAAAGAGTGTACGACACCAGATGCCGAGGGGCTGCTTTCGTGCCTGGCGACAAGGTTAGGGTGTACTGCCCTGTTCGTAAGAAAGGAGTGTCCCCCAAGCTGTGCAGTCACTGGCAGGGGCCGGCGGAGGTCGTGGAGCGGCTAACAGAAGTGGTGTACCCAATGTTCCCTCTAAGCTGCGCGCGTGCGCAATTGCGCACTGCTGGCACGGTCTCTGC